AACGTGGAATATTTGTCAAGGATCAAAACATCATCAAACTTGGAGTTTTTAAATAATATTTTTCAAGGATCAAAGGTCATCAAACGTGGAATATTTGTCAAGGATCAAGAGATCATCAAACTTGGATTTTTTAAAGAATATTTTTCAAGGATCAAAGGTCATCAAACGTGGAATATTTGTCAAGGATCAAGGGAAAAAGAAAACATAATTTTGAATACTTCAATTTAGAAACCGATCAGTAACCTTTCAGGTAGTAGTGTTTTGATATTTTGTTTTTATCTTTATATAACGGCGAATCAATTGTTATATTCATTACATTTTTAATACTTATTCACAATTTAAAGTAAGTTTATTGAACTAGTAATAGTTCTAGTTAAAATATTTAGTTCCATGTTGACAACTGTCACTTTCATAACGAGTATCAAGTGGCCATTAACATTTACATACATTCTCAGAAACAAATAAATGTTTGTTAAGACCTGCTTCTTGTGAAGTAGCATCGGTAAGAGCAACAGATGCTGGTAATGATTACCCTGTCAACAGGTCTTTAATTGATAGAGTTGTAGTTTTTTGCTTTGGTTTGGTTTGATTTGATTGGAAGCACGTGAAGAATTTTATGTCATTTTTCTTAATGTAATGTCATAATTTATGCATTTAATTATTTATTACGAAACGAAAGACTATCAATCTATAAATAAAAATTCTGAAAACTGAACTTGAACTTTAAAAATAACCTTTTAATGATTAGGTATATCTGATTAATATTACTTACGTGCTGGTGTGGATTAAGAAAAAAGTTCCATTTTAACTACTTCATAATGAAAGTTTTATTATTCCAGTGGAAATAATAAAAATTGTTTTAAAATTGAATGTTTAAATATTTATATGTTTCAAATAAATTCTTGTCTACGATGTCTAATTTCGGAATAGTGTTAAACGATGTTTCTTTAAATATTCCAATGATATACATATGTGTGCATGTTTTGTTGAAATATTCCATATTGACATAAATCCATGTGGAACTTCTTAAATGTGTTTGTGTTTATAATTTTTATTTTAGATTTGTAAACAAAATTCAAGATCACTGTCAATAAAAAACTTCGCACACTTACTACGTTTTAAAGCTAACGTAAGAAAATATAACGCTTTAATGGAAAGTTCCAAATATTTACCTGATATTACAAAAAACGCCTTTATTCCTGCTCTGTTAGATAAATGTCGCGGAAACCCCTATAATGAAATAGAAAACAAATCGATTGTATTACAACTTTCAATTATGTTGGAGAGTATCCCATGGCCTCTTTCTAAATTCTAGCAAATAAAATTCACTCGAGGGATAACATACAAAAATCATTGGCCGATTTAAGAAATATGCTATCTGTAATCCGGCCAGCTGTGAAAGAGTAGGTTCTATTTTCCAATATATGTCAAAATTATATTACCATGTGTGTGTGTGTGTGTTACCGATTTGTTTATATTTGGAAATTTTAAGTTCCGATCACATAATTTAATGTTAATGTTAAAACAATTTCTGTGGTCTAATGTACAACAATAAAAGCTTTCAGTAAGCTTATATTTTATGTCAACTTTTTTTATAGCATATACAAAGCCTAAAAGTATGCTATCAATTAGGAGAATGATTTATCAAATAGGGATGTCAGTACGAATATGTATAGATTAAATAAATTTTAAAATAGGATTAAAATCGTAAAATCGGAAGGACAAGACCTCAAAACCTTTCATCTGGAGAAGACCTTTAAGACTTCCATCTACGGAAGTTTGAGTGTCTTTAAGTTTTTTTTTCGCTTTAGAGGAACCAAATTTGCTTTAGAGATAGAGATAGAGGTCCACAATATTTTCTCCATAGATGAGCTGAAAGTTTTTCTAAGTGGCTCAGGGTCTTTTAAGAGGCTCTTGAGAGGATAGGGAGAAGATCCTCAAGAGGACTTTTACAGACAAGAAGTCTTGAAAAAGTCTTCAGTAGACTAGAAGGCCCTGCTTTAGAGTAGAAGGCACTTAAAAGGTCTTCTATAGAATAGAAGGCCCTGGAGAGTTCGTCTTTAGAAAATAAGGCATTCGAAAAATCCTGGAGTGGTCTTCTATGAAATATGAGAACCTTGAGCGGTCTCCATAGAATTAAAGACTTCTAAGAGATGTTGCTGATGCTGAGGTATTCTATAGAATACAAGACCCTTATCGAGGTTCTCTCTATAGAATAGAAGACCTTGGAAAGGTCTTCTATAGACTTTGGAGAGGTCTTTTTTCTAGGTCTTCTATAGAGTAGAAAACCGTAGAGAAACCCCTGAAAAGGTCTTCTGTTCTATAGAAGAGACGATTCTTCAAGAGTTTTTGTTTTGGATTGAAGACCTTTGATAGGTCTTCTATGTAATAGAAGTCCCTTGAGAGGTCTTCTATAGCATACAAGCCACTCGAGAGGTCTTCAATGGAGTAGTAGACCTTGGAGAGGTCTTCTATAGAGTGGCAGACCCGGGAGAGGTTTTCTATAGAATAGAAGACCCTGGAGAAGTCTTCTATAGAGTAGAAAACCCTGAAGAGTTGAAGATCTTGGAGAGGTCTTCTCTAGAGCAGAATAGCTTAGAAAGGTATTCTGCGGAATAGAATACCGTGGAGAGGTATTCTATAGAAGCTGGAGAGGTCTTCCGTAGAATAGAAGACCCTTGGAGGGGGGTTCTATAGAATATATAGAATATAAGAGATGTTTCCTTTAGAGATTAGAAGGCCTTGAGAGTTCTTCTATAGAATAGCAGATCTCTTGAAGGTCTTCTATAGAGTAAACGACCTTCGAGAGGTCATCTATAGAATAGAAGACCCTTGGAGAGGTCTTCCACAGAATAGAAGACCCTTGGAGGGTTTCCATAGAATAGAAGTCCCTTGGAGAGGTCTTCTATAGAATAGAAGACCCTTGGAGAGGTCTTCTATAGAATAGAAGACCCTTGGAGAGGTCTTCTATAGAATAGAAGACCCTTGGAGAGGTCTTCTATAGAATAGAAGACCCTTGGAGAGGTCTTCTATAGAATAGAAGACCCTTGGAGAGGTCTTCTATAGAATAGAAGACCCTTGGAGAGGTCTTCTATAGAATAGAAGACCCTTGGAGAGGTCTTCTATAGAATAGAAGACCCTTGGAGAGGTCTTCTATAGAATAGAAGACCCTTGGAGAGGTCTTCTATAGAATAGAAGACCCTTGGAGAGGTCTTCTATAGAATAGAAGACCCTTGGAGAGGTCTTCTATAGAATAGAAGACCCTTGGAGAGGTCTTCTATAGAATAGAAGACCCTTGGAGAGGTCTTCTGTAGCGTAGAAGATCCTGGAGAGGATTTCTTTAGCGTAGAAGGCCCTGGAGAGATCTTCTGTAGCGTAGAAGATCCTGGAGAGGTCTTCTGTAGCGTAGAAGATCCTGAGGTCTACTATAGAGTATTAAACTTTGGAGAGGTCTTCTATAGAGTAGAGGGTCCTTGAGAAATCTCCTATAGAGTAGAATATCCTTGAGAGATCTCCTATAAAGTAAAAGACCTTATTCTATTAAAAAAAAACCTCTCTTCTATAGAATACACTGGAGAGGGATTACATACAGTAGAATGTCGTATTAAGTAAGAGATCTCGGAGAGATCTCAAATGGAGCAGGAGAAATTAGAGAGGTCCCTAATAGAGAGGTATTCCACCGTTTAGAGGTCTATAGAAAATAAAAGCATAGAGTAAGACTTTTAAGTAGGATTCCTTGGATACGTCTTCATTCGGCTACAAGACCTCAGAGAGTTATTATTTAGTATGAAAATATTATCTTTATTAAAAATCTTTGAGCGGTCTTCTGAAGAAAAGCTAACACTTGGGAAGTCTTCTATAGAATCAAAGACCTTGAATGCAACTTCTATATAGTGAAGACCTTGAAGAAGTACTTTGCAGGGAGTAGGTCGTTGAGATGGCTGCTATTGAATGGAAGACCTTTGAGAGTTTTTTTTAGGGAATTTTCCCCATAGTTTGCTATTGTATGAAATAATGCCTCCCATAGTTCTGCACCTATCTCAAAGCCGTTCTATGGAATATAGAGTAGAAATTCCCTCAGCACCTAATAACATATGGTCCCTCCTCTTGCCGGCTAGCATAACTTGTTGGTGGTTTTCTAAAAAAACACAATAATTATTTGCATAATAATATGTTGTGCGCCGCTGCGTAGGTATGTATGTATGTCTGTGTGTGTAAATAAATTTGTTTATATTTTGGTCACTTCTTTCGTTGATTAATTATTCAAACAACGAACTGTGGATAATAACAAAAAACTCAAAACAAGAAATGACAAACTCAAATGCCGGCTTCTATAGTCATCTATGAAACGGAAAAGAAATGTTTTGAAAACAACAAAAAATGCGAGCGTGTGTGTTAAATTTTGAATTTTGAATATCTGAATTCAATTATCGATCGATCACCGATCAATTATCGCGCACTCGTCATCATGACATCACTCTGTAGTGCTCGAAGTGTTATGTTGCCGTTGTCACAGCTGTTTGTAACGTTCCGTCAAAGTGGCGAATACTTTATGCGTCGAAGGGAGAGAGAAAGAAAATAGAAAATAAAACTGGTTCCTTTGGAATAGCAGGTTGGGTTTCATTTTATGAATATTTATTGTTTAGGCCGGTGAACTTTTATTATTTTTTTTTTTAATTTATGATAAACAAACTTTGGGCGGATTTGGGTATCTCCTGTAAAACAACTGTGAACATCTAGTTTTGTGAATGAATTTAACAAATTGTTGTCCTCTATCCCTTATCAGGCTCCATTGATTCCCTTTTTTGCTAATGATTCGACTATTTCTAGCTAAGTTGTAGTTGATTTCGAATATTATTTTATGACGCATGACAAGTCCATTTGCATTGCCAATCTGTTGTTGATTAAATTTTTGGAGGAGGGGCATTAGTAACAGCAGCAACAGCCCCACCACCAACCTGATTTCGTATTCAAAACCCAAATCAATTTTTTTATTATTTATTTTTTTTTTGTATTTGGTTTTTATTTTTTTGTGAATTATTTATACATGAATGTATTTATGGCGTCTTATGAACTATTTATAAATGAACATTAAATTTCCGCATTTCTGCACCATGCGGCCAAATACGGAAATTCAAGTTTTTTTTCTTTGTGTTTCAACCAAAAGAGGTCGGATGCAAGAATGAGCGAATGAATGGATGGATGGAACTAAAACTAATGACATTAACCACAAACAAATGCAATACTTCGTCTTATGATCTGAATGGATGGATGGATTCCTTACAACTAGACAACTTAAAGGCTATTTATCGCTGAGAAGAATCTCCCCCCTCTAAAACTCCAAGAAATCTTGATAGGCGAACTCTTTGAACATTGTATCCAAAATGTTGCGTATAATGCTGGAAATGGTATCCTGAACGGAAGGTTGCAATTCCAACCAGACATCGCTCCAGTTTTCATTCAAGAATTGATTCATGTGGGCACCCAGGGCTTGGTCGCCGTTGAAGAGATTTGTCAATTTCATGGTCATTCTGGAAACAAAGGGAAATGTTTTTAATGATTCCAATTTAATTTCAATTTTATTCCTTTACCTCTGGGGTTCCAACAACACCTTCAATTTGTCCACAGCCAGGTAGGTCTTACCATCCTTGGGGTGAATGGAGGGCTTGAACTTAACGGAGAACTTAATTTTTTCGAAACCAATATCAGCATCACCATCACCCTGAATGGGCAGGATTAAAATACGACCGTCAGCGGTATATTTGCTGTGAATTGACATCTTGTTGAGATCGCCATACAATTCGAATTTACTTGTGGCTGGATCGGGTGAGAAACCACTGCAAAGGGGGTAACGTATTAAAATTAAAAAAAAAAAAAACGCAACAAAAAAAAAAAATTTAAAAAATAAATATTGGATCCCAAAACAGAAAAGGAAAGGACATATATTCTCATAGGAACAAAATGCTAGGAAAAACCTCTCAAAATCTTCTATGGATAGAAATGTGCTATGGAGATGGAACTGACAGATCTTTAAAGAATATAAGACCTATAGATTTTCTAGGGTAAAGGATCCCCAATGCCTTCTACGTATAAGAGGCCATAAGTTTCTTCTGAGATCGAAATATTTTTAAAGGTTTCTAAGAAAAAAAGCGATAAACTGTTACCATGGATAGTGGTATAATAAAACTAGAAGACCCTATAGAGCTTATGCAAAAAAGATTCTACGCAGAAGATTTTGTGATAAGATGGATGATCCATGGCCAGAAAACCAAAAGTTCTTCTGTGGGTTGTCAAAAGTTGTCTATATTCCACAGATCCTTGAAGGTTTCTAAAGGATCCGAAGTCCTTCGAAAAGTAAGATTCCCAAAAGAAGTTCCCCAAAAAACTAATACGACTTCAAGGGTATTCTATGGACGAATGATTTTATAGGTTTCGAGAAATAGAAGACTCTAAAGGATTCCCATGGGAAAAGGTATAATAAAATTGGAGGACACTCAAGATCTCCCAAATACAGATGGCCCACAAGGTTTTTCTTGACCTCAAAAGGCCCCTATGGCGGGCAGACCCTACATAGACACTCTAGTGGTCTTTCATTGACAAATAACTAACAGTTCTTTTCTGGTAGATGACCCAAATATCGCTTAGATCGTCCTCTACGGATAGAAGACCTCTAGTCTCAAAAATATCTATCTCAAAAAATCGTCATTGGTAAGAGGACCTTAAAAATACTTTCATGGCTTGGAATCTTCATTCACACAAGTTTTTCGCTATAAAATATCTAAAGAGGTACTTTTTGGATAAAGGGCCTCGAAAGGCCTTCTAGGGAAAAATCAAAAAAAAAAATTGAAACCTCAGAAGTTCTTCTACCAATAAATGACATTAAAAGAAATTCTGTGGACAAAATTTCTCAAAGGGTCTTCATAAGATAAAAGGGGATATTGGGTCTTTCATGGATATAAGAATACTAGATCAGAGACGTCCGGACCACCACTGAAATTGTTACTTTCTTAAAATTTGTTGTACATTTTGAACATAAGTTATTCCTATCAATTCTACGTTCAATTCTTGGAATTTACATGTAGCCTGTTGTTCTGTATGCAAATCTTTAACAATCTCCCTCCTTCCATAAAATTATCAATTTCTAGGGAAAAAAATAGTTCCCAAAAATATTTCCATTCACTTTATCTAGAATTGCGATGTCACCAAAATTTAAATTTCTAATAGATTCCGTGGCGTTATGCCTGCCTAAATTATTCAATTTTCAAAATTCTCAGAAAGACAAAAAAGGCAACCAGCACAACACAATTCTGTTTTCGGTTTGAAGCTTTGCAGCCAGACCAGCTGTCAATGCTAATTTTCGATTATTGGCGGTAAATGTTTCTCTTTTCAACTTACACAGCACGATCGAATTTCACGGCGGACAGACCCGTCACATCGACATCGCGAAGTGACAATTTCAATGCCAACGAACCGCTGCGACCATCTGAGAGTTCGACCCTCTTCAAGTGGAATGGTTCGACGACGGGAAAGAATGCGGCCGGTAATCCTTTGCGGGCATAGGTTTTCAGCAGTTCATTGGAGGTGCGGACAATGCAGGCTGTATCACCGGTATGGCATCGTTTGACTTCGGCGGCTTTGTGGAGAAAAAAAAAATGGAACAGAATTTAATATGGGCTAACACACACTGACACACGCGAGGATTTTGGAGGCAGTCCCTAAGTCTACCGCAAAAATCAAAATCAAATTGAGTTTGACGTTTCATTTTTTTATGTGCGGAGACTGCGGCCTGCTTTGTCTGGACATGGCTGGAATACTTACGAAATGGAGCGGCTTTGTTAAAGGGAATCCAGACAGCCATTAGGCATAAAGCTGAGATAAAAGTACGCATTTTCGTTTTTTTTTTTTTTTAAATCGTTAAGAATTCACAACGTAACACTAATAAAATTTGGGTTGGTAGACAGTTTTTTGAGTTCTGCTTTTTTATTTTATTTTGTTTTTTTTTTTTTTGGTTCACTACAAACTTTTTCTTTTTTGGAATTTCTGGGGGAACACTACGTTTAGTTGGCAAAAATTTTATTTAATTTCTCTTGTTTTTTGTGCTTTGATTATTTTTTTTCAAAACGTCTAGTTCCACCAGTTATTGCCCTCCTAAATATTTTTGATTTTTCGGTGGGAGGGTTTCCTTATTTTTTATTTTCGCAAAATGTCTGAACCAATGTCAATGCTAAACTGAATTAAATTTTTAGAACTCCACTGGCATTTATAATGCCTTCATTGTTGTCCATCCATGCTTCTGTCTGCCCGTCCCTCCCTCCCCGCCTGCTTGCCTGCGTCAGTGTTATTTTGTTCTGCTTTTTTTTTCATTTCATTCTTTACATTCGGCCGGCCGTTAATCGAATGCGGCCAATAAAACTGACCAATCAACCACCCCCCTTAACCCACCTTCAAAGCCTAGCTATTTTCTACTTGTCTAGAATGAAACGTTCTTTTTTTTGGCCAAATCAGCCGGTAACAATAACAACAACACTACGCAACGAAGTAGTCGCCGTCATGATCAGCCGCAGCAGCAACAGCAGTAGCTATGACGACAACGCATCATCGTTTTAGGTCGTTAAAATACTGGATTGGCAAAACTTCCACAGAGTCATTTTGGACAGTTCTCTGCGATGCTGAAATTGCCAATATTTTTTTATTCATATTTTGTTCATCTGCTTAAATTAATTGTTATGGGCTTTTTTGTTGTTGTTGCTGTTGTTTTTTCAAGCCCTTTTGTTTATCGTTCTCAGGGTGGTATGTTTGGTTTGGTATACCATATGTAACAGTTACTTGGATATAAAATCCTCCGGCCTTTGAATTTTCGGGTTTCCATCCCTGCATTGGATGTTTTAAAAATCGAGTTCAAATTGTTGAGCAGTTATCAAAATGAGTGGATCGTTGTAAACCATCTTCAAAGCTTAAGTTTGAATTAACATGTGATAGGAATGCGTAACTCGATTTTCCAATCATACCTCCGAAATGCGAGTGATATTAGCTCTCCACTCGAATTCGAGCGGGAGTACTCCTGTGAGTAATAAAAAATCGTACATACTCAATTGTTCAATGTCACTCGAATAACAGCGGCTGAGGGGTCTCCATTAGGACTCATCTAACCTTATGAAATAGTGGGGAGTAGATTTCTCCCTTTCCTGGGGGTTATAAGCAGACGCTATCTTGATTTACCTACTAAATTACAATCTTTTCAAATAGTGTTCAAATACGATAAGATGAATAAGGAATATAAGATGGCGAATGGACCTCGGAGGTGCTCAGGAATTCGAAGTTGATTTTTGGATTTGACGATTGGGAATTCGACGTTTACAATGTCTTGTAAGCAAGAGGGTGAACAACTCGTAGACAATCTTGAACTATGCTATAGCCTTGTTGGATTGTTTACAATTTGATAAACGGGAACTTATGTTCGTCGGTTGTCGACGGGTTCAATGTAATTAGGAATTAGGATTTTTGTGTTCGGGGTGACGTCGGAATTCGGGATGGTGAACGCAAGCGTGAAAATCAGTAAAGGGCCATCGGGCTGACGAGTGGCGGATAATCGAGGTTTACGATCTAGGTCGTTGGAATGTTGATGTCCATATCTTCAGACACGGGTTGCGGGCTGGTATTATAATCGTTCGGCAAATCACTCTGGATATGCTCGGGAATTCATGTCTAGGCTTTTACAGATGGATCGGGGCAGCTCACTGCGGAACAGCAAGCCGATCTTCCTTTAGAACACGAGTCGAAATTCCTGCCGAAAAGCTGGTCGAAGCTCCTGCCGAAGCCCCTGTGTAAATGAATTACCGGCCAATCAACTTAATCAGAGTCAAGTTAATTTCGGAAAAGGTATTCCTTGTTAGCCAGTGAACAGAAAATGATTCAGAAAATCACTAAGTAACCTTTGACAAGGTCCTTGCAGTAGCAAACAAGTCCAATCGTAAACTAAAAGAAATACTATATTTGACCGAAATTTTCAAGTGAATGAGAATTATTTGCCTTATGCGGTAAACGGCATACTGCCGAATGCTGAATGGTTATTTACGAAACCAACGTATAATGGGTGGTTGATTGACATGTTTGTTGTCTATTTTGTTGAGGTCGAAATTCCAAAAGCCTAAAAGTCCCCATTGGATATGTCGTGCTGAGTCCCTTAGAAGTTTTAACTTTCCATCTCTGTTCCGAAAAGTCAAAACATTCATAAGTAGACTCGATAAATTTAACCAATGTTGCGATTTTGCAAAAACGGCAGACAGAGAATTTCTACTATCACAACTCACCTAAATTAGGTAAAAACAATATGAAGAGTCCCTATTGGATATGTCGCTGTAAATCCTTTCGAAGTCTTAACTTTACATCCCTGCTGTGAAATGTCAAACTTCAAAAGTAGATTTTTGTTTGATTTTAAGCAAATGTGCCCCATCTTATCTAAATTATTTAAAAACAATATGAGAAGTCGAAACCGACTTTTTATAATGGGATCGTGCATTTGAGACCACCGAATTTCATGACAGTATTAAATTTTGAATTTATATTAGTTTAATAAAAAAAGTCGAAAAAATCGTTAAAAAGATCGAAAATAGAAATCGACTTTTGTCGCCGTTGAATCGAAAGGTTTTCATCGAAATGTTTATTATTTGGCTAAAATCTAAAAGATCGATTTGGTTTTCAACTAGTTATTCTTGTCATAATGTGCAAATTTGAGTTAGGTATACGTAACTTTACTTTAATATAATTTGCACGGTGGAAAGTCGAAATCGACTTTTGCCTGTGGTAAAAAAGCGCAAAGTGAACTATTTGTAACAGTGTTTTGGTTTTGCAACAATATATTCCTAATGGATTTATTTTTTTACGAAAAATCGATTTTATTATCGAAAATTGAAATCGAATCCGATTGGAAAAGTCGAATTTGGTTTCGAAATTAAAAGTCGAAAATCGATTTAGAGATAATTTGACAAAAGTCTAGTCGAAGTCTACTTTTTCTTGTGGAAATGACGATTATTTTCTTAAATGCAAAAAAGTTTCATATAACACTTCCCACTTAAATTTCTAAACGAAAATCGCAATCTATAAATTTAAATTTGAACCATGTAGCGATCACCTCAGTCATGCTATGTCAATGGAATTATTAAGTATTGCGTCTGCGCACCATCCAGACAACAACAGCAAAAAAAACAGAGCTATAGAACCTTTAGAGGCAAAAATTTAACAACAGCCAACCGGGAATACTTGTTCGATTCCTACAACCCATTGGTGAAGTCAAAAATAATGCTAATAAAAAAATCAACAACAAAAGAAATCTTTGTTCGATCGCTTTTTTCTCTTCATCCATTAGCTTGGCACGACTCAAAATAATCTCTGGTATGTTTGTTGTTCTTGTTATTATTATGGGCGATAAAAAATGTTTATAGCAAACTATATGCATATGGATGGACGGATGGGTGGATGAATGGCTGGTTGCTTCGTTCGTTCATTTGTTTTACTAGATGTTATTCTAGACGTTTACCGGAGAATACCTATGGGACCAACGTCATCGGGCAAAAAATCTGAATGTATTTTGTTATCATTATCCATTCATGATCATGAATATCATCACGATAATCATAATCATCGTCATTATGATGATGATTACCATTTTATTAATATTAATGAGCACTTTCGTACATACAAATTAGCTGAAAGCAATAAACAGGTCTACACCGGCCTATGTAATTTAATGTATCAACAGGCGGCAGGTTAACGCCATGGAATCATACCCTACCAGAATCCGATCGGATGTACGAGATTTAATTGACTAATATGAGTATTTTATTTCGGATATTTCCATAAAATGTGTGATCAACACATTTTTGTTGCAAACCATTGACCAAAGCTTAATATGCCATTAAAATTGGAATGTGAGCTGAGTAGGGTACCAAGAATTTGCTAGGTAAATAATAAATAAATCTAAAAACAAATTCCTATTTACACTTGCCTATTGTTGATTCGCCGAACACGAAAAATACCTAACGAACTGACTCATAGTTTTGATGTTCACATTTTGAAATGGCATTAGGTGCGGCTGAGTCGAACTCATTGAACACTACACTATTACGGAAATTTGGAAACTTTCTTGCAAATAGTTTAGTTTAAAATTTGTTTAAACGCAACAAATGAGGAGGGGATGAGGAATGTTGTACCCTTCGCCATGTTATATATTGTCATAGCATGGAATAATTATTTTCTCCTTGTCAAGTTTTGGTCAGAATATTTTAATTTGAAGTTGATCTTAGAAGAACATTTTGGCTTAGGGAAAGTGTAACTAATAAGAATCTAAATTATTAAAATGCCAAACGATTCTGTTGTTGAAATTCAATACTGAACTGAGTGACTCATTCCCACTCACTCGCATTTATACATCCCCATCTGAACTTCGAAGCTTGGGAGGTTTCAATCCAGGATGTTCTAAAATATTCCAACGAATGACAATCACCTCCATTCGTCTTGAACATTTAAACATATGCGAATAAACAAATACATCTAAACAACAACGGAAATATTGATCATAAATACGAGTGGGAGAGGGAGAAAGATTAACTTCTTAAATTAACTTACTCTATAACTAACGAGGTGGTGGTAAATTTAACCCACCCTTCGCATTTTCTTGAAATTCTCTCTTTTATTGCGATAAATAAAGGTTTTCTTAAAATGGAAAAATCTTTTTTTAAAGAAGATTTATTCACATTTAAATGCTGGAGATTCCAGCCAAATAAAAAGAAATCATTAGCCCTAAAAATTGAAAAATAGATGGCGTTTATAAAAAAACGAGTGAAACATATCCGCAAGTGGAAATACTCGAAGAGTACGAGATTTGCAGAAGTTTTCTCTCCACTCTTGTGTTTTATGTGGGATCGGGCAGAAGTACTCTTTCTTGGAAACTAAATTTGGGAGTAAGAATTTTCGGTTAAAATGCTCGAATTATATACAGATTCCCTTCAAAGTATTAATGTTCTTCAAAATGTTTGCTTTTTTCACTTTTAGCCATATTTAGAAATAAATCAAGGATAAAATAAAAACTTTATGAGTACTCGGCAAGTGTAGTATCTGCTCGATTTCGAGCGCATTTTAATCATCCTGGAAAACGAGCACAGCCTGAACGAACTTATTTGAATCATATAGAAAAAACAGAGTATGCTCGATTATTGATTCTCTATACACAGGAGAACTTCTGCT